AATACAGTTTCTAGCCAAAATTTGATGGTTTCGTTGCACTTTCCGAGCCCGTAGGGTATCTGATTGGCTTAAAAGTACAAGAAAACACTTCAAAAGTGACGTTTCTGAAGAATTTTAACAGTTTTCTTGTATCTACGAACGCCAGAATGCATAAAATTGACCTAAACGTCTCCTTTTCCTATTCTGAGTCGATTCTGCATGCTTTAGGTGTGTTTGGTGGCTCAGAACCATCAAAAAACGTTGAAATATAGTTCAAATTCAATAAAAATCGACAAAAATACAGTTTCTAGCTAAAATTTGATGGTTTCGTTGCACTTTCCGAGCCCGTAGGGTATCTGATTGGCTTAAAAGTACAAGAAAACACTTCAAAAGTGACGTTTCTGAAGAATTTTAACAGTTTTCTTGTATCTACGAACGCCAGAATGCATAAAATTGACCTAAACGTCTCCTTTTCCTATTCTGAGTCGATTCTGCATGCTTTAAGTGTGTTTGGTGGCTCAGAACCATCAAAAAACGTTGAAATATAGTTCAAATTCAATAAAAATCGACAAAAATACAGTTTCTAGCTAAAATTTGATGGTTTCGTTGCACTTTCCGAGCCCGTAGGGTATCTGATTGGCTTAAAAGTACAAGAAAACACTTCAAAAGTGACGTTTCTGAAGAATTTTAACAGTTTTCTTGTATCTACGAACGCCAGAATGCATAAAATTGACCTAAACGTCTCCTTTTCCTATTCTGAGTCGATTCTGCATGCTTTAAGTGTGTTTGGTGGCTCAGAACCATCAAAAAACGTTGAAATATAGTTCAAATTCAATAAAAATCGACAAAAATACAGTTTCTAGCTAAAATTTGATGGTTTCGTTGCACTTTCCGAGCCCGTAGGGTATCTGATTGGCTTAAAAGTACAAGAAAACACTTCAAAAGTGACGTTTCTGAAGAATTTTAACAGTTTTCTTGTATCTACGAACGCCAGAATGCATAAAATTGACCTAAACGTCTCCTTTTCCTATTCTGAGTCGATTCTGCATGCTTTAAGTGTGTTTGGTGGCTCAGAACCATCAAAAAACGTTGAAATATAGTTCAAATTCAATAAAAATCGACAAAAATACAGTTTCTAGCTAAAATTTGATGGTTTCGTTGCACTTTCCGAGCCCGTAGGGTATCTGATTGGCTTAAAAGTACAAGAAAACACTTCAAAAGTGACGTTTCTGAAGAATTTTAACAGTTTTCTTGTATCTACGAACGCCAGAATGCATAAAATTGACCTAAACGTCTCCTTTTCCTATTCTGAGTCGATTCTGCATGCTTTAAGTGTGTTTGGTGGCTCAGAACCATCAAAAAACGTTGAAATATAGTTCAAATTCAATAAAAATCGACAAAAATACAGTTTCTAGCTAAAATTTGATGGTTTCGTTGCACTTTCCGAGCCCGTAGGGTATCTGATTGGCTTAAAAGTACAAGAAAACACTTCAAAAGGGACGTTTCTGAAGAATTTTAACAGTTTTCTTGTATCTACGAACGCCAGAATGCATAAAATTGACCTAAACGTCTCCTTTTCCTATTCTGAGTCGATTCTGCATGCTTTAAATGTGTTTGGTGGCTCAGAACCATCAAAAAACGTTGAAATATAGTTCAAATTCAATAAAAATCGACAAAAATACAGTTTCTAGCTAAAATTTGATGGTTTCGTTGCACTTTCCGAGCCCGTAGGGTATCTGATTGGCTTAAAAGTACAAGAAAACACTTCAAAAGTGACGTTTCTGAAGAATTTTAACAGTTTTCTTGTATCTACGAACGCCAGAATGCATAAAATTGACCTAAACGTCTCCTTTTCCTATTCTGAGTCGATTCTGCATGCTTTAAGTGTGTTTGGTAGCTCAGAACCATCAAAAAACGTTGAAATATAGTTCAAATTCAATAAAAATCGACAAAAATACAGTTTCTAGCTAAAATTTGATGGTTTCGTTGCACTTTCCGAGCCCGTAGGGTATCTGATTGGCTTAAAAGTACAAGAAAACACTTCAAAAGTGACGTTCCTGAAGAATTTTAACAGTTTTCTCGTATCTACGAACGCCAGAATGCATAAAATTGACCTAAACGTCTCCTTTTCCTATTCTGAGTCGATTCTGCATGCTTTAAGTGTGTTTGGTGGCTCAGAACCATCAAAAAACGTTGAAATATAGTTCAAATTCAATAAAAATCGACAAAAATACAGTTTCTAGCTAAAATTTGATGGTTTCGTTGCACTTTCCGAGCCCGTAGGGTATCTGATTGGCTTAAAAGTACAAGAAAACACTTCAAAAGTGACGTTTCTGAAGAATTTTAACAGTTTTCTTGTATCTACGAACGCCAGAATGCATAAAATTGACCTAAACGTCTCCTTTTCCTATTCTGAGTCGATTCTGCATGCTTTAAGTGTGTTTGGTGGCTCAGAACCATCAAAAAACGTTGAAATATAGTTCAAATTCAATAAAAATCGACAAAAATACAGTTTCTAGCTAAAATTTGATGGTTTCGTTGCACTTTCCGAGCCCGTAGGGTATCTGATTGGCTTAAAAGTACAAGAAAACACCTCAAAAGTGACGTTTCTGAAGAATTTTAACAGTTTTCTTGTGTCTACGAACGCCAGAATGCATAAAATTGACCTAAACGTCTCCTTTTCCTATTCTGAGTCGATTCTGCATGCTTTAAGTGTGTTTGGTGGCTCAGAACCATCAAAAAACGTTGAAATATAGTTCAAATTCAATAAAAATCGACAAAAATACAGTTTCTAGCTAAAATTTGATGGTTTCGTTGCACTTTCCGAGCCCATAGGGTATCTGATTGGCTTAAAAGTACAAGAAAACACTTCAAAAGTGACGTTTCTGAAGAATTTTAACAGTTTTCTCGTATCTACGAACGCCAGAATGCATAAAATTGACCTAAACGTCTCCTTTTCCTATTCTGAGTCGATTCTGCATGCTTTAAGTGTGTTTGGTGGCTCAGAACCATCAAAAAACGTTGAAATATAGTTCAAATTCAATAAAAATCGACAAAAATACAGTTTCTAGCTAAAATTTGATGGTTTCGTTGCACTTTCCGAGCCCGTAGGATATCTGATTGGCTTAAAAGTACAAGAAAACACTTCAAAAGTGACGTTTCTGAAGAATTTTAACAGTTTTCTTGTATCTACGAACGCCAGAATGCATAAAATTGACCTAAACGTCTCCTTTTCCTATTCTGAGTCGATTCTGCATGCTTTAAGTGTGTTTGGTGGCTCAGAACCATCAAAAAACGTTGAAATATAGTTCAAATTCAATAAAAATCGACAAAAATACAGTTTCTAGCTAAAATTTGATGGTTTCGTTGCACTTTCCGAGCCCATAGGGTATCTGATTGGCTTAAAAGTACAAGAAAACACTTCAAAAGTGACGTTTCTGAAGAATTTTAACAGTTTTCTCGTATCTACGAACGCCAGAATGCATAAAATTGACCTAAACGTCTCCTTTTCCTATTCTGAGTCGATTCTGCATGCTTTAAGTGTGTTTGGTGGCTCAGAACCATCAAAAAACGTTGAAATATAGTTCAAATTCAATAAAAATCGACAAAAATACAGTTTCTAGCTAAAATTTGATGGTTTCGTTGCACTTTCCGAGCCCGTAGGATATCTGATTGGCTTAAAAGTACAAGAAAACACTTCAAAAGTGACGTTTCTGAAGAATTTTAACAGTTTTCTTGTATCTACGAACGCCAGAATGCATAAAATTGACCTAAACGTCTCCTTTTCCTATTCTGAGTCGATTCTGCATGCTTTAAGTGTGTTTGGTGGCTCAGAACCATCAAAAAACGTTGAAATATAGTTCAAATTCAATAAAAATCGACAAAAATACAGTTTCTAGCTAAAATTTGATGGTTTCGTTGCACTTTCCGAGCCCGTAGGGTATCTGATTGGCTTAAAAGTACAAGAAAACACTTCAAAAGTGACGTTTCTGAAGAATTTTAACAGTTTTCTTGTATCTACGAACGCCAGAATGCATAAAATTGACCTAAACGTCTCCTTTTCCTATTCTGAGTCGATTCTGCATGCTTTAAGTGTGTTTGGTGGCTCAGAACCATCAAAAAACGTTGAAATATAGTTCAAATTCAATAAAAATCGACAAAAATACAGTTTCTAGCTAAAATTTGATGGTTTCGTTGCACTTTCCGAGCCCGTAGGGTATCTGATTGGCTTAAAAGTACAAGAAAACACTTCAAAAGTGACGTTTCTGAAGAATTTTAACAGTTTTCTTGTATCTACGAACGCCAGAATGCATAAAATTGACCTAAACGTCTCCTTTTCCTATTCTGAGTCGATTCTGCATGCTTTAAGTGTGTTTGGTGGCTCAAAACCATCAAAAAACGTTGAAATATAGTTCAAATTCAATAAAAATCGACAAAAATACAGTTTCTAGCTAAAATTTGATGGTTTCGTTGCACTTTCCGAGCCCGTAGGGTATCTGATTGGCTTAAAAGTACAAGAAAACACTTCAAAAGTGACGTTTCTGAAGAATTTTAACAGTTTTCTTGTATCTACGAACGCCAGAATGCATAAAATTGACCTAAACGTCTCCTTTTCCTATTCTGAGTCGATTCTGCATGCTTTAAGTGTGTTTGGTGGCTCAGAACCATCAAAAAACGTTGAAATATAGTTCAAATTCAATAAAAATCGACAAAAATACAGTTTCTAGCTAAAATTTGATGGTTTCGTTGCACTTTCCGAGCCCGTCGGGTATCTGATTGGCTTAAAAGTACAAGAAAACACTTCAAAAGTGACGTTCCTGAAGAATTTTAACAGTTTTCTCATATCTACGAACGCCAGAATGCATAAAATTGACCTAAACGTCTCCTTTTCCTATTCTGAGTCGATTCTGCATGCTTTAAGTGTGTTTGGTGGCTCAGAACCATCAAAAAATAAATAAATAAATAAATAAATAAATAAATAAATAAATAAATATTTAATTGTCCTACAGAATATTTTCCAGTTACAGGACAATTTCAGCAAAACATAACACAATTTTAGTCTAACTAATAATTGGCAAATATTCCCAAATCTTTCCTATCACAATTACATTTAGCAGAAGCAGAAATTGACAGTTACATCTTTCATAAATTTAGCTTGTCACAGATTGCAGTTTTCAGTTCTCTGGTCGAGCAGCTGAAGATATCACAATCGCTATTTCTCTCCATTTTGTTCGTATACATGCTGATCACATATAGTGGAGCTCTTCTACCAATATTTGTGCGTGGTGTACTGGAATAAAGCGTTACTGAATATCGATTATTTAATCTCGGCACATAAAATTTTAGGCCAGAAAGAAACTCACCACAGTCAATTTTATTATTCAGAAGTTTATGCAAGAAAATAAGTGCGCTGACAACTCTTCTGCACTGCAATGTATTAAGTTTGTATCGCTCTAATAATACTACATGTGGGTAATTTCTAACTGGCCACACTCCTTCATCCTTGAAATATAAATACTTTAAAAATTTCCTTTGAACGTTCTCTAGCAGCCTTATCTGATAATCATAATATGGGAACCAAGCCGTGGAGCAATATTCTAACCTAGATCTCACCAGTGAATTAAAAAGTTGAATTAAGGGTAACACGTTATTAAAACCTTTACAATTTCGTACAATAAACCCAAACATCTTACCAGCCTTACCTACAATGTTAGTGACATGTTCTTTAAAAGAAAATTTCGAGTCATAATGCACACCAAGATCTTTTATATTTGTAGTTCGTTGAAGAATACTATTACCAATATGATAATCAAATTGACAAGGATTGTAAGACAGCGTGAAGGAAACAACCTTGCATTTATCAATATTCAATGGCAGTTTATTCAGTAAACACCAATCCTTTAGTTTATTTATGTCATTTTGGAGCATTAAGCAGTCATCCACGTTGCCAATTTTATGAAATATTTTGATGTCATCTGCATAAATAAGAATTTGGGAGTTCTGGATGATATCCACAACATCGTTTAAGTAAATTATGAAACAAAGTGGACCGAGTATGGAGCCCTGCGGGACACCTGAGAATGAAGCATAAGAATTAGACTTAAAACCATTATACACAACACAATTTACCCTCGAAGACAGATAAGAATAAAATAGTTTTATTAAGGAATCAGAGAAACCCATAGCAGACAACTTACAAAGCAAAATTTGGTGATTAATTTTGTCGAAAGCTTTCGACAGATCCGTATATATAACGTCAAGCTGGCCACTGTGATCTAGCGTATCTGATATTATTTGGGACATACACATTAAGTTCGTATGAGTTGATCTTCCTGAAGAAAAGCCGTGCTGGTGTATAGAGATTAGTTCCTTAATATTGAAATAAATTTGTCGATATAAAATACTTTCATAAACTTTGGAGAAGCAGGATAAAATTGAAATGGGGCGGTAACTGCGCACATCGGATATATCTCCTGATTTGTATACTGGTACAATTTTAGCGATCTTCCACATATTGGGGAAGCAAGAATTATTAAGGCTTAGGTTAAACAAATAACACAAAGGTTTAAGAAAGGCAGCTGAACAGTCTTTTATCAGAAAAGAAGGGACTTGGTCGATGCCAGCGGAACAAGTGTTTTTTATTTTACTGATAGCTGCAAGCACATCGTCATCAAAAATCTGGATATGGAACGGCAAGTTGCTACTATTACTAACAAATGTATTACCTTGCAATTGGTTGGTTTCAGGTAAGTCAAAAATCGAGGAAAAATAATGGGCAAACATATTAACAATGTCCTGTGGACGGTCATACTCACTGTTGTCAAAATGTACGGAGCTTGGAATGGAAGAACGACCTCGTTTTTCTTTTATAAACGTCCAAAAATATTTTGGATCACTTAACAATGAATTTTGCGCTTTAATAATATAATTATTGAAATCCCGACGAATTAACCGTTTGACGTCACGCCGTATATAAGAAAAATTTAAATATGCTTCACCGGATGGTAACTGTTTGTGGCATTTAAAGAACTTACGTTTTAGTTTAGTTTAAGCATACTTCTGAGTTCTGCCGAGTACCAGTTAGGGTAACGAAACCTTTTACACTTAAACAAAGGCACATGCTTGTCAATTATATCATACAATACGCTATAAAAATGCTCACAAGCTTGGTTTACATCAGTGATTCTATACAAATAACTCCAATCAGCGTTGAAAATATCCTGGTACAATAAAAGAAAATTCGCTTTTTTAAAATTGTACAATTTGGCCATATTACATGCAGCGAAATTGATGTAAGAAACTTTTTTTAATTGGAGATTAATATTTAACGCCGGATGGTGCATGTCTTCCGCAATTAATGGACATAAATCACGACTAACAGTACAGTGAGTTGAGGTACTAAAAACTAAGTCTAAAAGGCGACCATCGGAATTTGGAATAGAATTAAGCTGTGTTAAGTTTAAAAGTGAAGCCATATTACGAAGAGAACTTGATTTTGTATCATTTTTATTACTGGAAAAACTTGGAGAATTGAAATCCCCAATTAAAAATATATTAGAAAGCTCAATGGCGTAGCTTTCAAAGCATTCTATAAATAACACAAAATCAGTTACAGAAAGATCAGGCGGTATGTAAACTACAAATATGTGTAAATTACCTTCTTGACAAAATAACTTACAACCTATGATATCACACAGAAAAAAATCCTTAAATGTCGACATGTCCAGGCATTTAACGTTGAACTGAGCATTAACAGCCAGAACAACTCCCCCGCCGCTTTGACGATTGGATCTATTGAAGTCTCTGTCTGAACGAAATGCAATGTAATTTGGCGGAATAAATTCACTGTTATTGATCGATGGATCAAGCCATGATTCTGTAATACATATTATATCAAATACATTAGACGTTAAATTGGAGTAAATGTCATTAACACGTGATCTAATGCTGCGAGTGTTCTGATAATAAACAAAGAAAGTTTTGCTATTGCTGGGAAAGGTTGTAGGTGATTTAGTAGACTTTGAAGTTATGTTACTTACATTGGCCGCATCTAAGGACGATCTAAAAAATTGCTTTTAAAATCTGACAGAGGTTCAAAACGATTAAACACTTGAACAGAAGGCGTGACATTCACGTTCCCAGGAGACTGAGATTGGAGTCCTGAGCTCGTACTTGGGACACTTTGAACATCTGTAGGCTTGAGATTAGGAATTTTTCTAATATCTATGCGAACTGGTTCACCAAATACCACATTACGAAGTTTAGCTTCGGCAAATTTAAACGCAAAACAACTCTTATAGTCCCAGGCCGGATGGTCAACACTAATGTCAAACCCATGCATATGTTTGAGACTTCTACAGTTAATACAAACCTTAGCAACTGAGTGACAAGTATTTACCTGGTGCTCACCTGCACATAAAGGACAGATAACTGGTCTAGGGCACTTAGTTTTAGTATGATTGAACCCATTGCATTTAAAGCAACGTGTTACCGTCGTATCATCATACAATTTGCAAATATTTATGCCTACAAGTAATCCACCAGCTTTCATAACTTTCTTGTATGTATGTATATCCAGCTGAACAGTTGCCTGAAGTATTTTTTTGTTCTTTTTTAGGGGCCAGAAATTTAGAAGCCTATATTCAGTTGCATCTGCTAACAAATCAGAGTTTTGGGATTTTAAATAACTCATAAAAGACTCCTTATTTAGACAAGAAGGAATTCCGACGATTCTAACACGAGGGTGTTCTGATCTAAGAACAAAAACATCGTAATCATTCGATAGTTTATCTGCTGCAAGTTGTTTTAGTTTTTTTGAATTTTCAATATTATTACATCCTACGATGATAGCTCCATCCTTAGCTTTTTTGGAATTTGTGACAGAGATATTTTCATTCAATAAATCTACATTCCGCAACAGGTCTTCTTGTGTTTGGAAAGCTTTCTGCGCAACTTTTGGTTTAATCATTACTTTGGCTTGCGTTGCGGAACTCAATTTATTTGCATATGTATCAGTGGGTTTAATCGTGTCTGCAATAGCTACAGGAATTGCAGCACTACTACCATGGATCACTGCAGCTTTACTTGGATTGTCGGTTAATAACCTCACTAATTCTATATTAGATTGTTTCAATGCTTCCATCTCCCTTCTTAATTTTGTAACCTCCAATAGCGTTTTCTCGTTTTCCAACGCAATAACGTTTCGAATAATCGATTGCATCTCAGGATTCTGCAAGATAGTTGTCACATTAGATGCTACAGAATTAGGTGAATCAATAAAGTAGTTGTACATCGGAACTCTAAACACGCCATTACAATCCGCACAAAGAAATTTTACCTGTGAAGAATACCGTCGAAGCCTCTCACAAGTAGATTTATCTTGAGATAATAATCCCAAACACGAAAAGTGAACAGAGCGACCACACCCATCGCGAATAAAAGCAATCGCTTTTTCGACTGGAGCCATACACACAGGACAGCATTCAGAGACTGGAAAGTCTTTAATCCCAGAAGAGGGTGAATTTTCAGTGGACGACATCTGACAGACAGAATAAGGAGAAATCACTGCCAAAAATTAAGATGAAAATAAACAAAGAAAAGTCAACAACGATGGCGGCCGCTGACGTCGCCAAAAGCGACCTCGTGCGGCCACTAAACTAACAAAACTCGTAAACAAATAACTTTTAGAACACAAAGGGCTATGTAAAAGCGTAAAATTTAAATCAAGCAGCTCAAAAGACTGCTCGGCTTAATAAGCAACGCCTGTAGAACAAAATATAACAGATTTACAACAAAAGGAGAGAATTTTCCTCTCTAAATATGTAAATAACTATGGACATTGTAACAAACCTGACATATGGCACAAACGCACGCGCAAAGTAGAAATAGAAAAAACGTTGAAATATAGTTCAAATTCAATAAAAATCGACAAAAATACAGTTTCTAGCTAAAATTTGATGGTTTCGTTGCACTTTCCGAGCCCGTAGGGTATCTGATTGGCTTAAAAGTACAAGAAAACACTTCAAAAGTGACGTTTCTGAAGAATTTTAACAGTTTTCTTGTATCTACGAACGCCAGAATGCATAAAATTGACCTAAACGTCTCCTTTTCCTATTCTGAGTCGATTCTGCATGCTTTAAGTGTGTTTGGTGGCTCAGAACCATCAAAAAACGTTGAAATATAGTTCAAATTCAATAAAAATCGACAAAAATACAGTTTCTAGCTAAAATTTGATGGTTTCGTTGCACTTTCCGAGCCCGTAGGGTATCTGATTGGCTTAAAAGTACAAGAAAACACTTCAAAAGTGACGTTTCTGAAGAATTTTAACAGTTTTCTTGTATCTACGAACGCCAGAATGCATAAAATTGACCTAAACGTCTCCTTTTCCTATTCTGAGTCGATTCTGCATGCTTTAAGTGTGTTTGGTGGCTCAGAACCATCAAAAAACGTTGAAATATAGTTCAAATTCAATAAAAATCGACAAAAATACAGTTTCTAGCTAAAATTTGATGGTTTCGTTGCACTTTCCGAGCCCATAGGGTATCTGATTGGCTTAAAAGTACAAGAAAACACTTCAAAAGTGACGTTTCTGAAGAATTTTAACAGTTTTCTTGTATCTACGAACGCCAGAATGCATAAAATTGACCTAAAGGTCTCCTTTTCCTATTCTGAGTCGATTCTGCATGCTTTAAGTGTGTTTGGTGGCTCAGAACCATCAAAAAACGTTGAAATATAGTTCAAATTCAATAAAAATCGACAAAAATACAGTTTCTAGCTAAAATTTGATGGTTTCGTTGCACTTTCCGAGCCCGTAGGGTATCTGATTGGCTTAAAAGTACAAGAAAACACCTCAAAAGTGACGTTTCTGAAGAATTTTAACAGTTTTCTTGTGTCTACGAACGCCAGAATGCATAAAATTGACCTAAACGTCTCCTTTTCCTATTCTGAGTCGATTCTGCATGCTTTAAGTGTGTTTGGTGGCTCAGAACCATCAAAAAACGTTGAAATATAGTTCAAATTCAATAAAAATCGACAAAAATACAGTTTCTAGCTAAAATTTGATGGTTTCGTTGCACTTTCCGAGCCCGTAGGGTATCTGAATGGCTTAAAAGTACAAGAAAACACTTCAAAAGTGACGTTTCTGAAGAATTTTAACAGTTTTCTTGTATCTACGAACGCCAGAATGCATAAAATTGACCTAAACGTCTCCTTTTCCTATTCTGAGTCGATTCTGCATGCTTTAAGTGTGTTTGGTGGCTCAGAACCATCAAAAAACGTTGAAATATAGTTCAAATTCAATAAAAATCGACAAAAATACAGTTTCTAGCTAAAATTTGATGGTTTCGTTGCACTTTCCGAGCCCGTAGGGTATCTGATTGGCTTAAAAGTACAAGAAAACACTTCAAAAGTGACGTTTCTGAAGAATTTTAACAGTTTTCTTGTATCCACGAACGCCAGAATGCATAAAATTGACCTAAACGTCTCCTTTTCCTATTCTGAGTCGATTCTGCATGCTTTAAGTGTGTTTGGTGGCTCAGAACCATCAAAAAACGTTGAAATATAGTTCAAATTCAATAAAAATCGACAAAAATACAGTTTCTAGCTAAAATTTGATGGTTTCGTTGCACTTTCCGAGCCCGTAGGGTATCTGATTGGCTTAAAAGTACAAGAAAACACTTCAAAAGTGACGTTTCTGAAGAATTTTAACAGTTTTCTTGTATCTACGAACGCCAGAATGCATAAAATTGACCTAAACGTCTCCTTTTCCTATTCTGAGTCGATTCTGCATGCTTTAAGTGTGTTTGGTGGCTCAGAACCATCAAAAAACGTTGAAATATAGTTCAAATTCAATAAAAATCGACAAAAATACAGTTTCTAGCTAAAATTTGATGGTTTCGTTGCACTTTCCGAGCCCGTAGGGTATCTGATTGGCTTAAAAGTACAAGAAAACACTTCAAAAGTGACGTTCCTGAAGAATTTTAACAGTTTTCTCGTATCTACGAACGCCAGAATGCATAAAATTGACCTAAACGTCTCCTTTTCCTATTCTGAGTCGATTCTGCATGCTTTAAGTGTGTTTGGTGGCTCAGAACCATCAAAAAACGTTGAAATATAGTTCAAATTCAATAAAAATCGACAAAAATACAGTTTCTAGCTAAAATTTGATGGTTTCGTTGCACTTTCCGAGCCCGTTGGGTATCTGATTGGCTTAAAAGTACAAGAAAACACTTCAAAAGTGACGTTTCTGAAGAATTTTAACAGTTTTCTTGTATCTACGAACGCCAGAATGCATAAAATTGACCTAAACGTCTCCTTTTCCTATTCTGAGTCGATTCTGCATGCTTTAAGTGTGTTTGGTGGCTCAGAACCATCAAAAAACGTTGAAATATAGTTCAAATTCAATAAAAATCGACAAAAATACAGTTTCTAGCTAAAATTTGATGGTTTCGTTGCACTTTCCGAGCCCGTAGGGTATCTGATTGGCTTAAAAGTACAAGAAAACACTTCAAAAGTGACGTTCCTGAAGAATTTTAACAGTTTTCTCGTATCTACGAACGCCAGAATGCATAAAATTGACCTAAACGTCTCCTTTTCCTATTCTGAGTCGATTCTGCATGCTTTAAGTGTGTTTGGTGGCTCAGAACCATCAAAAAACGTTGAAATATAGTTCAAATTCAATAAAAATCGACAAAAATACAGTTTCTAGCTAAAATTTGATGGTTTCGTTGCACTTTCCGAGCCCGTAGGGTATCTGATTGGCTTAAAAGTACAAGAAAACACTTCAAAAGTGACGTTTCTGAAGAATTTTAACAGTTTTCTTGTATCTACGAACGCCAGAATGCATAAAATTGACCTAAAGGTCTCCTTTTCCTATTCTGAGTCGATTCTGCATGCTTTAAGTGTGTTTGGTGGCTCAGAACCATCAAAAAACTTTGAAAAATAGTTCAAATTCAATAAAAATCGACAAAAATACAGTTTCTAGCTAAAATTTGATGGTTTCGTTGCACTTTCCGAGCCCGTAGGGTATCTGATTGGCTTAAAAGTACAAGAAAACACCTCAAAAGTGACGTTTCTGAAGAATTTTAACAGTTTTCTTGTGTCTACGAACGCCAGAATGCATAAAATTGACCTAAACGTTTCCTTTTCCTATTCTGAGTCGATTCTGCATGCTTTAAGTGTGTTTGGTGGCTCAGAACCATCAAAAAACGTTGAAATATAGTTCAAATTCAATAAAAATCGACAAAAATACAGTTTCTAGCTAAAATTTGATGGTTTCGTTGCACTTTCCGAGCCCGTAGGGTATCTGATTGGCTTAAAAGTACAAGAAAACACTTCAAAAGTGACGTTTCTGAAGAATTTTAACAGTTTTCTTGTATCTACGAACGCCAGAATGCATAAAATTGACCTAAACGTCTCCTTTTCCTATTCTGAGTCGATTCTGCATGCTTTAAGTGTGTTTGGTGGCTCAGAACCATCAAAAAACGTTGAAATATAGTTCAAATTCAATAAAAATCGACAAAAATACAGTTTCTAGCTAAAATTTGATGGTTTCGTTGCACTTTCCGAGCCCGTAGGGTATCTGATTGGCTTAAAAGTACAAGAAAACACTTCAAAAGTGACGTTTGTGAAGAATTTTAACAGTTTTCTTGTATCTACGAACGCCAGAATGCATAAAATTGACCTAAACGTCTCCTTTTCCTATTCTGAGTCGATTCTGCATGCTTTAAGTGTGTTTGGTGGCTCAGAACCATCAAAAAACGTTGAAATATAGTTCAAATTCAATAAAAATCGACAAAAATACAGTTTCTAGCTAAAATTTGATGGTTTCGTTGCACTTTCCGAGCCCGTAGGGTATCTGATTGGCTTAAAAGTACAAGAAAACACATCAAAAGTGACGTTTCTGAAGAATTTTAACAGTTTTCTTGTATCTACGAACGCCAGAATGCATAAAATTGACCTAAACGTCTCCTTTTCCTATTCTGAGTCGATTCTGCATGCTTTAAGTGTGTTTGGTGGCTCAGAACCATCAAAAAACGTTGAAATATAGTTCAAATTCAATAAAAATCGACAAAAATACAGTTTCTAGCTAAAATTTGATGGTTTCGTTGCACTTTCCGAGCCCGTAGGGTATCTGATTGGCTTAAAAGTACAAGAAAACACTTCAAAAGTGACGTTTCTGAAGAATTTTAACAGTTTTCTTGTATCTACGAACGCCAGAATGCATAAAATTGACCTAAACGTCTCCTTTTCCTATTCTGAGTCGATTCTGCATGCTTTAAGTGTGTTTGGTGGCTCAGAACCATCAAAAAACGTTGAAATATAGTTCAAATTCAATAAAAATCGACAAAAATACAGTTTCTAGCTAAAATTTGATAGTTTCGTTGCACTTTCCGAGCCCGTAGGGTATCTGATTGGCTTAAAAGTACAAGAAAACACTTCAAAAGTGACGTTTCTGAAGAATATTAACAGTTTTCTTGTATCTACGAACGCCAGAATGCATAAATTTGACCTAAACGTCTCCTTTTCCTATTCTGAGTCGATTCTGCATGCTTTAAGTGTGTTTGGTGGCTCAGAACCATCAAAAAACGTTGAAATATAGTTCAAATTCAATAAAAATCGACAAAAATACAGTTTCTAGCTAAAATTTGATGGTTTC